TTTGCTTTTTTTAAAAGCGATTCAGAACTTTTCCAAGTGTCTCAAACCATTGCGTTCTGTTGGCTTTTATACTGCTTGCGAGATTTCGAGACATATTGAAGAAAACAAGGCAGTGTGGCGCATCGTTCTAAGCGTTAGGAATAATTTTGTATCGTAATGTTGGAATCCCATGCCGGATTGATTATGTTCGAGAACAATGCTCCTCTCTGTCGTAGGGTGGTTCGCGTAACAGCTCCATGCATCTGAAAACTGGTCAACTGATCCCATACCCGATATGGAAGGGTGAACCGGACGTGAGACCGTGGTTCGCCATATGGTAAAGCCGCCTTATCGGCCTTCCTCTCCCTCGGGAGAAATATGTATATCCTCCTCCTTCTCCAACTGCGAATGGTCGAAGTTTGAGGCTTCTTGGAATGTTTCGATTTTGAATGGGCCTGTGAACAACAGCGCCACCAATCAGATATATAGTAAATCTAATATTTCTATTCAGAACATTTTTCAAATTATGAACAACCATCAAATCTAAAACATTTAGGGAAAGTATTGAATGAAAATAGATTGAAAATATGTCTGCTTTGTTCAGTGGCGTATCTAGGTAAAATGGCGCCCATGGCAAAGATTCAAAAATGCGACCCCTCCTTCGCTTGTTTCCTTTTTTCGTTTACATGAAATTGATGGCTCTCAACTACGCAACATAACAAGCAATTTAATAACTACACAATAAACAGTAGACGGTCGGGCAATAACAAAATCTTAGAATAGTATATTTCGTGACGCAAATTTGCCAATGATTTCATCAAAAAAAAATTTTTTTTTTGTTTCACCCCTCTCTATACTTAATATAGCCAGATCACAAAGCTTTCCTGGCTAATTGAAGATCGAAGGTATGACAGAATTAATTTTAGTTCACTAAACGACCGATCGCAATTTTCTATGGATACTGCCAATGTCAGCAAAATTTGCAAAGCCATCCGGAGATTGGGGAAATTCAAAAAAGACTCTTTGACACACACTGTTTTCTCGTCATAGTCTATACTCTATATCAGGGGTGGCCAACCTTTCACATACCATGCGCCACGTTTTAAACATAATGTTTCAGATGCGCCTTAAATCTCTTGTATTCCCACGCCTTATGTTCGCTCCTTGTTGAAATTATATAAATTTATAATACACACGTATATGTAGCTTTTTACAATTTACAACTTCACATGAATAGAAATTAAGCAAGGAAGTATAATAAATAAAACTGATTAATTTTATTTAAGTACCGCCTTTATGAGACTTTTGCTGCTGTTTTACTTTCGCCAGTTTTTTTTATTCTTGGAGTTAAGTTTGTTACTGAGAGGAGCAGTGCATTCTTCAAATTTAAATCTGAAAGTCTTGACCTCGCTTTGCTTTTAATTAGTTTCATGGCAGAAAATGTTTATTCACATCTATATGTCGTTCCGAAACGACATATAAAACCCTGGGCAACTTTTCTCAGTTCTGGAAAATTTTCACGAGGTAACGATTGCCAGAACTTGATCATGTCAGATGCACTTGGGACTGAAGAAAGCTCATCAAATTTAATTTTCAATGATGGATGAGTTTTCAAGTCAATTAGTTCCAATTGTATATTGCTTGGCATCTTCATTATGTTTAGTTCACTAAGTGAAAATGGGTTGATAAAAGCAAGTATAGAGTCTTCTTCTTTTGAAATATCATGAAAACGACTTGAATGAATGAATTTCAATGACAGCCGCATATATATAGTTAACTCAACGAAAATTCTCGTATCCACGCAAAAATTCGAGCAATTTACGATAAACATATTACGATTGATTACGAAACAGGGAACCATTGTGACGCCATGCTTCAAGTAAAAACTACAGCCTTCCTGAAAGTAGGAGAAAAACGTATTCTGTCTTATGAGCATTACGCAATAAAGCTGTTTTTACCAACGAAGAGAAAAGGGTACGATTAAGAAGTAAAGTTAGGCGTAATAATGTGACAATATGCCTTTAGTATCAATATCTACTCTACTCTACCCTCGATTCTAATTGGCCTTTGCTAATCAGCTCTTTGGCCTAGCGTCGCGTGATTTTACTCCAGGCTTCTTCAAAATTAGTACTTGCGTCACAGCAAGCGATTTTACGCTTCGCTTTTGTTGACAACGGTCATTTGAAGTTTGGATGAAAAAGGTGGTATTTAGGGGTCATTTTCAGCATGTTGTGGGTTGATTTATAATAAATTTTTTAGGCCCGGGCATTTCAACTGGTTGTTCAATGGTTATTGGGAGATATTTGGGAAGTCTGGGCAATGGAAAATCCATGTTTCAAGCTGATAAATGACGATTTTCTATTTTTCCAGAAGTTCTGAACTTTTTACTCCAGTAGGGAAAAAATAGTAAATTTTACTAATTTTGATAAAAGTCTAGAATGAATGTCATAAAGTCCGTCCAAAAGCTAACGTCGATAATCGCCTGTTGTTTCTAATTCCAACAAGCCGTAAGTGGACGACGTGGAGTAAGGAGAATAGATTTTAGGTACAATCAAAAGTCACCATGTAAATCGCAAAAAAACGGCTTGGCGTGGAGAAGTCAAGTGCAATTAACAATTTTGGCATAAAAAGGGTTAAAGATGCAATGCGCCACCTCTAATCATGCAATGCGCCACGTTTGGCGCATGCGCCATAGGTTGGCCACCCCTGCTCTATATCTTACATGGGCCTGATGCTTCCACAACCAAATTTCGATGTTTTAGCTGAAAAATAGCTCGAGGAATTTGTTGAGATTTTGGCACGAGGCTAATTGTTTTCCACTAAGAGGTTGAATGTGGATGGCTTCCAATGGAACCAAGATGCTCTCGCAGCACAGGATCAAGGACGGCAAGGAATTTTATTGAGCCAAGAAAATGACCAACATTTGAATTACTATCTGCTTGAAGTGACTCCCTGTGCCCTCGCAAAGCGAGATTTTGTTCCGCCAGACACTTTATTTCATGCGATATTCATTTAAGAATCTCACTACATTTTTCCCTTTCCTTTTTAATTTGTACATGGAAATTGGCGTCAATAATTCCGGTTTATTGCCCCAATTTCTTTCCACGCTGTAAAACATTCTCTCTCATTGTACGAATATTCATAAATGTTCACTCCAGTACGATATCAGAGCTAATATGAGGTGCAGTAAGTCCAGTACCGTATCAATTTCGGCTTATTAATGTTGAATCACCGTCAATTGCGCTAGGTGACGGAACAAACTGCATTGATCGTTGGAAACTGCAAACTGCATTGACTTTGGTTAAATTTGTTCTGATTTAATTAGAAATACGAGTTTCATTCATTTTCAAGTTTTATTGAAAATTATACAATTAGAACTTTTCGCGTTTTTTGCGCCCCCGTCCAAACGGCGCCCATGGCACGAGCCATGGCTGCCATACCCTAGATACGCCACTGCCTTTGTTGCCTATTTAAAGCGGGTCAATTCGGAGCAGACTATGTTCGCACTGAACAGAACTCAGCGATATAAGCGGCCACTAAAGAACTGGTTAAAATGAACGCTTCCGGCAAACTATTATGAACTATCCCTGGCATGAGCATATCAATTTTGTCCAATTTTCACTATGCTGAACCAACATTTGTTTGATTGGATTCTTTAGGAATCATCATGTTGCCATATGAATGGTTGCCATGAAAGTTTCCGCAAAGTTCATCATAGTTAGCTCTACAACTATGTCAAACCAGATGATATCCATTCAAGTGTTTTTTGAACCAATTTACATTAATAATAAAAAAACATATTTTATGCTGAGATGGATTATTGGTTCAAAACTAGTGATGTTTGCAAAAAGAGGCAATTTCGTTTTTAAAACATGTTTTCGTGTGTCCACGGCGAACATGTCTATGGACACCAGGTTTAGTTTAGTATTGCTGGAAATCTATTGCCTTCCTACGCATATTTCTATTACAAAATTCTCTAAATCTCATAATTTTAGATTGTATTTGTCATGTTGGGTGGATACACTCTTAACAGAAAAAGAGGATATTTGCCATTTCCGCCCCCTCCATTGGGATGTAGTGATATATTTTCCGCCTTATTTCGTTGCATAATTTTATATACACCGTGCTAATGCATTCACAGGGTGTGTTACCAAACATTTTCTCCACTAAACTTGGTGGAAGGAAATGCATGAACGCGTCATGTCACGTGATATAGAGGTGACTGTGACGATGTGAGAAGGCTGAACGCTATTGGCTGAAATCGTTTCGAATATTTTTATGCGCGGTGACTTGACTTATCACTCTGCCGAGGCTTCGATGAAACTGTGCATAACAGACCGTCTGCGGTAAACAACTCCAATTTTCAATAGATAGAATAAGTGGGTGGGCACAGTTTGTGTTGAATGTGGAAAACTTACATTGTGTGGAGAGGTCTGGAGGTTTAAGCTTGCTGGTACAGGTAGGATTTCGAATTATTAAGTTGATGCTGATAAACAAACGCGAAATTATCGGCCTAGTACCGGTACGGTACCTTAATCTAGTCATAATTAAATAATCGATCAGTCAATCCACTACTACTATTAGCCTACAGTGTTCATGTGGATTCAGATTGCGTTCAGCTAACGTTGCCAGTCAAGCAAACCAAAGCTTTGTTTGCTAATGCAGTAATATCAAGTGACCAGTACTAGATAAGATTAGGCTATAGCCTATAACGGTAAATACAGAAATATAAAGTTATCAGTAACTTAGTCTATATTGCGAGTCTAACCTCTGAACTTCATACCAGTAACGGGAGCGATCTCAACTAATTTTGATTTGCCAAACTTGCCAAAAGGATTCTGTACAGGCTATTGCAGTATTGGGCTCATTTATCTGTTTATAACACGTTTGGTAAGTCGAGCAGGAACAATTTATTTTTCTTTTGTGCTTAACTTGGAATTACACAATTTTAACAGCTATCATACATTTTGTTAGTAGCCTACGGAGCACATAACTTTCTATTCAGGACTTTTCTATTCAACTTTCTTGAAAATGAAGATGATCACAGTATTGGGACTTACAAGTAGATAATAGCAGAGGTCTTAACAGTGTTAACTCTAAGGAAATTATGAGTGCGAAAGTGCTTCGCAGTCGAAAAAAAAAGTGCGAAAGTGCTTTTTTTCGATTTTAACAACAAAGTGCTTTTTTCGATTTTAACAAGTTAGGTGCCCTAGCTTTTGTTATAACTCATTTCAGACATAAATACTGGAAACAGCGCTCATTCTGTGAATTTCACGAATTAAAAATAGTCTCTCTGTTCTTTTAAATCTTGATTAAAACGAGAGAATTCATCGGCAAGGAAAGACACCTGCTGAGCACACCTGTCGCGATTTGAAGCACATTCATCACTAACCAAAGGACACCTGCTTGGCACACCTGTCGTGAACGAAACTTTCCTGCAATCAACCACCGGAGTCAATTGCTAGAATGACCTGCAAAGCCTTGCACATTCGTGTTACTGCCGGCCATAGATCGATACCAAACTTCGCCTTAGGATTACATTAATGTTTCGTCGTTACAGATAACTGTTACATGGTGTTTCCACATGAGGTCTGTGCATAAAAGGATTTGCAGGCTGAGCCAGAACCAATCGGATAATTATCAATTTGTTATTTAAAAAGTAAGGACGGTATTTTTCTCAAATCATAACATACATTTTGCATGAGTGGCCCACCAAATATCCCGGGGGTCAACCCTTGTTTTCAACAAGAGAAAGTTACAAGGCTTCGATATCAAGTAACAAAATTGCACAGTTTACACATTTGTTTTATTCACAAATAAAAATACAAAAGCGAACGAATAAAAATGGATGGCGTGGCTTCTGCAGCCCGTTCGTTCTTTGTGCTAGCTTGTTGCAAGACATCTATGAAGAATGATTCCGCTTTGTCTGCTTTTATGGATGTCTCCCCGCCACATCTCAGAAGCATTGTTAGGTGTCTGCTGCTAAGCCTATTATTCCTACAAAAGTGGTATTCATCAATATCAAATATAGTCCTATTTTCTAAATAAATAAGTAAGAAGTTTTCTCAAATTCTCATACTTTCAAAATTGTTGTAATAATTTTTACCTGTGTTTCGTCTTAATTATGTTTATTGAAGAAAACCCTCGTTCGGCCCCCCGAGGTACCGGCTGCGAAAACTTGTAGGACTTTGCCGAGCACTTGAAAGCATGGGTACTCGGGCGCTGCCGCTAAGTACTCGCATACCTGTAATTTATTTGCATATATTAAATTAGGTTTCATATGCTTCGAAGCTAAGTGCGTGTGTGTTGGATGAGAGATCAGAAGCATACGACAAATAAATACAAATGGTAGCTACCGATTAGAACTTACGTTCTCCATAGCCGGTATTTGGAGAATATGCAGATCATGACGAAGATTCTGCCATTCCATCACTACTGCCTCCTTGTTTGTGAATTCTTCGATCAAAGGTCCATATTGTCTAATTTTCTTATAATGAACTCAGAAATGTAAGTAACATACGTGCAGATTGCGGTTCCTGTTTTCTTATCGTGTATAATATATGGAAACTCTCTTTTCCATTTCTCCGGCCAAGCGTCAAGCTCTAAAATATCATGTCGTTGTTTCTTTTTCTCTGCCATGCCTACTAAAATAATTTCTAAGAAAGTAAAGTGGTAAATGCCTCGTTCATAACTACGGGTAAAATTGGCTTAACGTAATATTAGGAAGTGGAATTGTAATTAATCTACCACAAATTGATTGCACACTAACACACCATGCGATGATTCATATTCTAGGCTAAGCCTATTTTATCATAATAAATCTATGACAAACTTTTTCCATCCTCGTAGGTAGGTCAAATCTGGGCGCTATCGCTTTAACCACGCTTCCTCGTTCGATAGAATATGCTTGAAAGTAGTCGCTCCTCTTCTAGTTTTATATGATTGTTTGACGTCATGTTTCTCCGGCTCCCTTTTTCATTCTTTATCGATTGTTGTGTTGTTGAAAAAAAAGGGCTAACCTACTTTCCCTTCAAACCTTTTTCTCCAAAAATTGCACAATATTACTTTGAAAGTCATCTCCCGTTTACGAGATAGGTTAACCTACTTTCACTCCGAAGATTTTTTTTCTCCGCTATTTAAGCAATATCACTTTGATAGAGGCCACCCGCTGTTTCAAGTAAGCGATAAGTTAACCTACTTTCCCTTCAAACCTTTTTCTCCAAAATATTGCACATTTGCTCAATATTACTTTGAAAGTCATCTCCCGCTTTACGAGATAGGGTAACCTACTTTCACTCCGAAGATTTATTTCTCCGATATATTAAGCAATATTATTTTGATAGACACCACCCCCTGTTTTAAGAGATAAGTTAACCTACTTTCCCTTCAAACTTTTTCTCCTAAATATTACACAAGATCACTTCTAAAATCTTTCCCCGTTTCGTGATCTTAAACTAGCTTTTAGCCTAATTTCTCGTTTACATTAATGTTATACTATTTCAGAGCTTACGCAAAGACAAGCAATTTTTTAAAATGTCGGCATGCCTTGATTTGCGTGCGAGTTAGTTAAAATCGGGTAGAAAACATCATATATAGGCAGAATTTGCGAAGGAACACGAAGTACAACGAGGATGATTCTCGAAAATTGAAATTAAAACATTGCACCAGAAGTGTGTTTCACGACGACATAATGCATTTAATAAATTAAAAGGTATGGTCGTTCACAGCGAAATTCCAGTTACATATAGCACACCTTTCTTTGCCTGTCGGTGTTGGTGAATATTTTGCAAGTCCTATTTTAAACATCGACCATTTATCCGTAGTCAGCGGGTATCCGCATTCAGAAATAAAACACTAAAAATCGCGAAAATTAATTTTAGAGAGAACTATAACATGCAGATATCAGTAGCCTCATAACGGTTTGTATGTACAAAAACGCGCTCGCATGTAGCGCCGATCAAATGCATGAAATGTGGAACTATTACTTGGAATTTATTGTTAATGAAGTTGGATTTTTTATTGCCATTTAATGATTATTTACATGCGCGGTGTGATTAGTGGCGAGCAAAATATATTATATTTCGGACAGAATTGTGGGTTCACATCGGCGAAGATGTTAAAGACCACTATTACGAAGTGCATTCACAACACAATTTAATTTTATCCTGATTTTTATCTTCTGTGTAGGATTTTTATCACAGTTTGTAAATTACAGTCGCAATTTTTTAGGCGAACAATATTACCATTACTGACCCCGGGATGCGATATTTGTGAGGCGGATAGTTGGTATTTCTATGCTTTTGATTTTAGATCGTGTCCGTGTAACTTTCGTAATAAATAATATTTTAAAACTCCGCAAATTGGTAATCTCTTGAATACTCAGTGTCGAGTATTCACGTAACTCAGATTTCAGTTAAAACACTGATACTAAACTCGTGAATGAATCGGCAATAATGGCATTTCTACATGGTTAAAATAAAAATATGTTTTCCCGATATCTTGAGAAATTTCCATAAATACATTATTTGCATGGTTCGACGTTTCTAAGTTTACAAAAACGGTGCTGACACGCTCTGTGCAAAATTAGGAATTTAAAAATATGACACAAAAAGGCAAGGGAATTTCTTTTTTTACATTTATCGTTTCTACCTGTTAGCGATAGCCCTAGGTTAGTTCTTATCCGTAAATCGTTGTAAATTAATGTTATTAAATTCTATTTGGCTTTTCAATGCGCCGTGATTCGTATTCATAAAAGTGAGTCGGGAAAAGTACGTCCTTAAATTAACTTATAACCCTTCTCTCCTTTTATGCACCCACGACGGCGGTAAAATTCGTTTCATGTCTGTTTCATGGAGAGAAAGGAAAATACGCCTCCGGAATTGCAATCAACAATTACACATTCTTATTTATCATTATCAGCGCTAAATAATAAAGATAAGATATGGTAATGACAAAAGTCTGTCGGTTTTAATTGTGTTACGGTCACAAATATTCTGGACATTAATATCATAACCTCGCATATCAATGAGAAATGGATGCAATGTCGCAAAATTCCGAAAAATGCCACGTGCTTTTAACATTCCTGGTTACAATGCAACGGCTGTTAATAAGGCATATGATATGTGTTTTGTGAATTTGATGATTTTGCAAAGTTTCTTCTGATTAAAAAATAACTGCATAAGCGTACATTATATTACTAAATAATGTCGTGTCGGGTTTCAGAACTTTCTAAATCCAGTAAAATCTCTTAAAAAGGGTACAAAGGCCCGTCAAACTTGCACCAGAAAATCGTTTCATTTTGTGGCAATTCGTGGATGTCACATGACCACACTCTCGTTCAAAGAAACTCACCGCCATTACGTCGTTGGAGCGTTTCGCGGGAGAAGCGGAATACGCGTGCTTGTATAATAATCATATTATTAACAAGAATTTTGCGGTTAATGCAAAAGCTTTATCTTCTATGTCTGCATCTCATAGGTTAGAATTCCGGTAAATATCGTTATGATATGCCGAATTGAGCTACAAAAGTACTGGTATGTTACTTATTTGACAACTTAAGACTCACATAAACATATTTTTCAATTTTGAATTTTTTTCCTTTCAAAATCAGAAAAAAGTGCTATTTCTCTTCAAAATCGGAAAAAAGTGCTATTTCGCAGTCCCTAAAAAAAGTTGCGAAAGTGCTTCGCACTTTTCGCAAAAAAGTGCGCTAATAGTGAACACTGGGCCAGAGGAACTAAATGAGAGAAATATAGCAGATGAGCAGTGCTGCAGTGAACAACTCATAGGTGAGTCTTGTTATTTTATGCAATAAATATATCGCCGGATGAGAACAGAACAGGCCTAAGTCACAATTTCGAGTTTTGAGAAAAATGCAAAAAAAAATTTGTAATTTTTTCTATTTTCGAATTCCTAAATATTCACGCTTAGTAAATACCTGAGCTCTGGTTATTTTAGTGTGGATGAGAATATCTTTGTAATCGATATTTTTTGGCACTTCAGCTTCAATTCCTTCCAGCTTTTTTACCCCCATAAAGGATTTTGGCCCATTCTGTTCTCAACAACTTCTGAATTTTTTGTATGGGATGCAAAGTAAAACAAGGTGACTTAGGCCTAAGTTGCACTGAATAATTTTTTAGGGATGTGAGTTTCAGACATTTCATTTCTGATGTTCATGCTGGAACTTAGGACTCTTTTTTTCAATATTTTGGGGTCCTGAGCATTAGGGTTTTGAGCCATGCCCTACATTCTACAAGGTGGTGGTCTTGAAATCCTGAATTTCTCAATAATAAAAATTTAAGCTGGACTTAGGCCCATTCTGTTCTTAACTTCTACAAAATATTATAGTCCTAGGTCCAGCTGAAATTTTTATTATTCAGAAATTCAGGATTTCAAGACCACCACCTTGTAGAGCATGGCTCAAAACCCCAAAATATTGAAAAAAGATGAATTTTCTAAAAATGTGACTTAGGCCCCTTCTGTTCTCATCCGGCGATATGCAAGTCTAATAATGGTACATGTTTTTAAATCTAGTGCGTTGTATTTGGGTGTAAAATACAGTGCGAAAATGAATAAAATAATGTCACCATTACAAACATATTGTTGAAAATAACTTTCTATTCAGGATGTTGATTTTCTTGAAAATGAAGATGATCACAGTATTGGAACTCACAAGTAGCTAATAGCAGAGAAACTAAATGGGAGGAATATAGCGGATGAGCAGTGAACAACTGATAGGTTGGTACATGTGTTTAAATCTAGTGCGTTGTATTTGGGTGTAAAATACAGTGTTGAGAATGAATGAAATAATGTCACCATTACAAACATATTGTTGAAATTTTTGATTCTATATAGCCCAGGGGTGGCCAACCTATGGCGCATGCGCCAAACGTGGCGCATTGCATGATTAGAGGTGGCGCATTGCATCTTTAACCCTTTTTATGCCAAAATTGTTAATTGCACTTGACTTCTCCACGTCAAGCCGTTTTTTTGCGATTTACATGGTGACTTTTGATTGTACCTAAAATCTATTCTCCTTACTCCACGTCGTCCACTTACGGCTTGTTGGAATTAGAAACAACAGGCGATTATCGACGTTAGCTTTTGGACGGACTTTATGACATTCATTCTAGACTTTTATCAAAAATTAGTAAAATTTACTATTTTTTCCCTACTGGAGTAAAAAGTTCAGAACTTCTGGAAAAATAGAAAATCGTCATTTATCAGCTTAAAACATAGATTTTCCATTGCCCAGACTTCCCAAATATCTCCCAATAACCATTGAACAACCAGTTGAAATGCCCGGGCCTAAAAAATTTATTATAAATCAACCCACAACATGCTGAAAATGACCCCTAAATACCACCTTTTTCATCCAAACTTCAAATGACCGTTGTCAACAAAAGCGAAGCGTAAAATCGCTTGCTGTGACGCAAGTACTAATTTTGAAGAAGCCTGGAGTAAAATCACGCGACGCTAGGCCAAAGAGCTGATTAGCAAAGGCCAATTAGAATCGAGGGTAGAGTAGAGTAGATATTGATACTAAAGGCATATTGTCACATTATTACGCCTAACTTTACTTCTTAATCGTACCCTTTTCTCTTCGTTGGTAAAAACAGCATATTGCGTAATGCTCATAAGACAGAATACGTTTTTCTCCTACTTTCAGGAAGGCTGTAGTTTTTACTTGAAGCATGGCGTCACAATGGTTCCCTGTTTCGTAATCAATCGTAATATGTTTATCGTAAATTGCTCGAATTTTTGCGTGGATACGAGAATTTTCGTTGAGGTAACTATATATATGCGGCTGTCATTGAAATTCATTCATTCAAGTCGTTTTCATGATATTTCAAAAGAAGAAGACTCTATACTTGCTTTTATCAACCCATTTTCACTTAGTGAACTAAACATAATGAAGATGCCAAGCAATATACAATTGGAACTAATTGACTTGAAAACTCATCCATCATTGAAAATTAAATTTGATGAGCTTTCTTCAGTCCCAAGTGCATCTGACATGATCAAGTTCTGGCAATCGTTACCTCGTGAAAATTTTCCAGAACTGAGAAAAGTTGCCCAGGGTTTTATATGTCGTTTCGGAACGACATATAGATGTGAATAAACATTTTCTGCCATGAAACTAATTAAAAGCAAAGCGAGGTCAAGACTTACAGATTTAAATTTGAAGAATGCACTGCTCCTCTCAGTAACAAACTTAACTCCAAGAATAAAAAAAACTGGCGAAAGTAAAACAGCAGCAAAAGTCTCATAAAGGCGGTACTTAAATAAAATTAATCAGTTTTATTTATTATACTTCCTTGCTTAATTTCTATTCATGTGAAGTTGTAAATTGTAAAAAACTACATATACGTGTGTATTATAAATTTATATAATTTCAACAAGGAGCGAACATAAGGCGTGGGAATACAAGAGATTTAAGGCGCATCTGAAACATTATGTTTAAAACGTGGCGCATGGTATGTGAAAGGTTGGCCACCCCTGATTATAGCCTATATGTAGATGTATGATGATATCACTATATGCTTTATAATTATGAAGAGTTAGAATCAATACTTAGAGTTAGACAAACTGAAAAAATAGCTAGTCTGTGTTGTTCATCACTTTTATAAATTACTATCATAAATTACTTGTCCAGTACAAGGACTCCAATTCAGTTCGAAACATTTTTATTGAATATGTTCGAAGTTAACATGCGACCGTTTTTCTACTGCAAAAGACATACTCATCTAATCTTTTTTTTTTGTATATTTAGATTGTAAGTCCATTCCAATGATGAACTCTGGATCATCACTAGATCACAGTTCGAATGGAAGCTTTAATTACACAAAAGCAATGGCAGTGATGGACTCTTTGTTACAGGATTTTCAATATACAAATACCATCAGGTAGCAGAAAAGCTTGGCATTCATCACAGCATGCCTACTGCTCCTGCCAAATGAAGTATTCCCATTCAAAAAACAAAAAAGGCGTAACTTTCTCATTACTATATTTGCGACCTTTAGTAGTCAATTTCGCCGAATATTTACTGTTTTAATAAGTTGTTTAAATCTTGAAAACCTGTCGTGGTTTCATGCTTCCTTTGGGTGGTTATAGTACGTTTCCAGGCTTGCAAGAAGGTTGATCTTGCTATCGATTTGGGTGGGGTTGTTAGGGTGGAAATGTTAAACACCTACCCAAAGAGTGGAAGAAGTAGAAAACCTTGTGAACCAAATATTTTGGTGGGAATCACCACTTTTTTCATTTAGAGTGTATGGTGGGCATACACATTCAACTTCATCCTAAGTTATGTTTGCCTCGGGTAGTTTGCTGTTGTTACGTTGTTTTGTTTTATATGATTAAATTCATTCATTGAATGATTAGCTCCATATTCTCTTGACATTGATTTTCTAATAGGCACGCGGAATACTGGAATACACGAAAAGTTCAGTCTAACAAAATTTTGAAGGCCTTTATTTCTGATCATTTATTATATGATACTCGTGGCCTCAAAAATTTTTCGAAATCACTGCCTCGAATTTTTGTTTCCGCCAAATATGAAAAAAATCTCTTTTTTGTTGATTTTCGAAGCCTGTACAGAGTTGTGAACAAAACACATGCTTGTGAATAAAGTTACTTCCAAAAGCAAATTGATATTTGAATTGGATGCACTAAATATGCGTAAAATTGATTTATAATTGTTTTTAAGACCTTCTTCTCATAAAGTTACACTTTGTTTACCACCATTTTAATATTTTAACTTGTGACTTCAATTACTATTAAAAATCTTTGTCCAAAGTCGTTGGCAAGTTGCTGATATTATTTTAGTTTTAAACCGTCAGGCTCACATATATATTTTCATGGAATAATAGTGTTCCCTCATAAATCCAATCTTTTTTGTATAGTTTTTCATTGATTGCAAATATTACCCCTAATTACTGAAAGAGCCTAAGTAATTTAAAATATTTGTTTTGTTGTCTGTAAACTTTAATTCTCTGTAGGATTGAATATAAATTATAAATTTGAAAAAATATTTTCAATTGGGGAGCTTTTTTACTGTGCGGGATTTCGTTGAAAACCCCAGGTTTATTAGTTCCTTGTTCTCTGCACCACTGTGAAGCTAGCAGGACTTTCAGCCAGAATATTTTTACACATCGAATATAGGTTCTACGCGCAAATAGTGTTCACTTATAGTTACATATAAAATTGAAAAAGGTGATCAAAATATAATTTTAGTACGGAAATACATGAAAAATCTTCAAACTGACTGAATACAATGAATTTGACAAAAAATATAGTGTTTAAGAAAAGACCAACTCAGCGAAAAATGAATTTTCAAGTATTCCGCAAATACGAAGTTTCGAAAAATTATCGTATTTAAAACGTCGATTTCTCGAAAACCGCCAATAAAGGCAGCACCACGACACATTCGGCAAAAAAAACTGATTCGTCATAGATTTGATTTTGATATGTCAGAACAGTAGCAGCACGTTTTGACTTGGCCATATATAATACCAAAAATAGCGTATAATTTTCAATTTTAATAACTATGTAGATATAACATATTTAAAAACGGTTTGGTATTTCAACTGAATTTACTGGATAATTCATCAAATACTTTTTTCTCTTGGTCATACATCAAAACTGTACGTTCATTAAACTTGGAATAAGTGGGCAAATCTTAAAATAACAAAAAATTATTTTACGCCCTCTTGTGGATTTTTTCCGGAATTTTTAAAAAAATATCGTTTTTAAAAAAGGGGATTTCTCAAAAACCGCCAATAAAGGCAGCACTACGACACATTCGGAGAAAAGCAGGTACCTTATAGATTTAATTTCATTATGTTAGAACAGTAGCAGCACGTTTTGACTTGGCCATATATAATACCAAACATAGCGTATAATTTTAAATTTTATTAGTTATGTAGATATAACATATTTAAAAACGGTTTGATATTTCAACTGAATTTACTTGATAATGCATCAAATACCTTTTTTTTCTTGGTTATACATCAAAACCGTACGTTCATTAAACTTGGAATAAGTGGGCAAATCTTAAAATAACAAAAAATGATTTTACGCCCTCTTTTGGATTATTTTCGGAATTTTAAAAAAAAATATCATGTTTGAAAGGGCGATTTCTCAAAAACCGCCAATAAAGGCAGCACTACGACACATTCGGAGAAAAGCATGTACCTTATAGATTTAATTTCATTATGTTAGAACAGTAGCAGCATGTTTTGACTTGGCCATATATAATACCAAACATCGCGTGTATTCAAAATTTAATAAACAATGCAGACGTAACATATTTAAAAACCGTTTGATATTTCAACTAAATTTACTAGATAATTTATCGAACATTTTTTTTCTCTTGGGCATACATATATTCTGTACGATCATTAAACTTGGAACAAGTTGCGGAAAGTATAAAATAGCAAAAACCAAGTTACGTCCTCTTGTGGATTATCTTCAAAATTTCAAAAAATTATCGTATTTGAAATAGCGATTTCTCGAAAACCGCCAATAAAGGCAGCACTACGACACATTCGGAGAAAAGCAGATACCTGATAGATTAAATTTCATTATGTCAGAACAATAGCAGCACGTTTTGACTTGGCCATATATAATACCAAACATAGCGTGTTTTCAAAATGTTATAAACAATGCAGACGTAACATAATTTAAAAACCGTTTGTTATTTCAACTAAATTTACTAGATAATTTATCAAACAACTTTTTCTCTTGGACATACATATATACTGTACTACGTCCATTAAACTTGGAATGAGTTGCGGAAAGTATGATTTAACAAAAAAATCATTTTACGCCCTCTTGTTGGTTATTTTCAAAAATTTATCGTTTTTGAAATAGCGATTTTTCAAAAACCGCCAATAAAGGCAGCACTACGACACATTAGGAGAAAAGCAGATACCTTATAGATTCGATTTTATTATGTCAGAACAGTAGCAGCACGTTTTGACTTGGCCAATCATAATACCAAACATAGCGTATAATTTTCAATTTTAATAACTATGTAGATGTAACATATTTAAAAACGGTTTGCTGTTTCAACTAAATTTCCTGGATAATTCATCAAATACTTTCCTCTCTTGGCCATACATCAAAACTGTACGTTCATTAAACTTGGAATAAGTGGGCAAATCCTAAAATAACAAAAAATGATTTGACGCCATCTTGTGGATTTTTTTCGGATTTTCAAAAAAATATCTTTTTGAAATAGCGATTTCTCAAAAACCGCCAATAAAGGCAGCACTACGACACATTCGGAGAAAAGCAGATACCTCATAAATTCGATTTCATTATGTCAGAACAATAGCAGCACGTTTTAACTCGGCCAAATATATTACCAAACATAGCGTGAATTCAAAATTTCATAAACAATGCAGACGTAACATATTTAAAAAGTGCTTTGTATTTCAACTAAATTTACTAGATAATAAATCAAACATCTTTTTCTATTAAACATACACCAATACTGTACGTTCACTAAACTTTGAATAAGTTGCGGAAAATATGAAATACCAAAAAAATCATTTTAAGCCCTTTTGTGGATTATTTTCAAAATTTCGTAAAATTATCGTTTTTTAAAGAGCGATTTCTAGAAAACCGCCAATAAAGGCAGCACTACGACGCATTCGGAGAAAGGCAGATACCTTATAGATTTGATTTCATTATGTCACAACAGTAGCAGCACGTTTTGACTTGGTCATATATAATACCAAACATAGCGTGTATTCTTCAACTTTTGAATGATGCTGACGTTAAAAATTAATAAAGCTGTCGTATTTTAAACAAATTTACTGAATACTTGTTCAAATATAATTTTCTCCCAGTCACACATCAATACTGAACAAAGTGAGAAATATATTTGATCCAATATCTAGCAAATTAAGTTGAAATACAAGCTTTTAAGTTCGTTACGTCCATTTTAATATAAAATTTTGAAAACACGTTATGTTTGGTATTATACATGACCAAGTCAAAGTGTGCGGTTACTGTTTTGCTATGGTGAAGTCGAATCTATGAGTTATCTGATTTGCTCAGATAATCAAAATAAATAATCAAAAAATGTTTTGTTATTTTAAGATTCGCCCACTTATTCCAAGTTTAATGAACGTACAGTTTTGATGTATGACCAAGAGAAAAATTTGATGAATTATCCAGTAAATTTAGTTGAAATACCAAACCGTTTTTAAATATGTTACATCTACATTGGTAATAAAATTGAAAATTATACGCTATGTTTGGTATTATATATGGCCAAGTCAAAACGTGCTGCTACTGTTTTGACATATGAAAATCGAATCTATAAGGTATCTGCTTTTCTCCGAATGTGTCGTAGTGCTGCCTTTATTGGCGGTTTTCGTGAAATCGCTATTTCGAATACGATGATTTTTTGAAATTTTGAAGATAATCCACAAGAGGACGTAACTTGGTTTTTGATATTTTATACTTTCCGCAAATTATTCCAAGTTTAATGATCGTACAGTATATATGTATTTCCAAGAGAAAAAAATGTTCGATAAATTATCTAGAAATTTTGGTGGAAAACCAAACGGTTTTTAAATATGTTACGTCTGCATTGTTTATAAAATTTTGAATACACGCTATGTTTGGTATTATATATGGCCAAGTCAAAACGTGCTGCTACTGTTCTGACATAATGAAATTAAATCTATAAGGTACCTGCTTTTCTCCGAATGTGTCGTAGTGCTGCCTTTATTGGCGGTTTTAGAGAAATCGCCTTTCAAACACGATATTTTTTTGAAAATTCCCGAAAAAATCCACAAGAGGGCGTGAAATCATTTTTTGTTATTTCAAGATTTGCCCACTTATTCCAAGTTTAATGAACGTACGGTTTTGATTTATGACCAAGAGAAAAAAGTATTTGATGAATATCCCAGTAAATCCAGTTGAAAAACCAAACCGTTTTTAAATATGTTATA